GCCGCCATGCAGAAAGGCCAGGTCAAAACGCGAACGTGGGCAGGGACAACGCTGCTCGCCCCTCGCAGTCTGCTCCGCCGGACAGCCGCGGCCGGGAGCCGCACACCCCTGTGCCCTGCGCCCGCCAGCACACGGGCAGGATGGGCCATGCCATTACCACGGCTCAATTTGGCTTTATTTATTGTTATTTCATGGTCATTTTCTTTTAATGAACCATCACTTTCATTTCTGCCCATAATCATTACACAATTACCTATCCTGGAAGTATTTTGTAATAGCATCGCTGTTCATAAATTTTATCCTCTGTTTTAAATACCATCCTAATTCAGCTTTAAGGATAATTTCCATTCTTTTTGTATGCAGAAATGGTAGACTTTGGCAAAAGTGAGGGGCAAAGCAACTCATTACAGAACAAACGTGACTGTTTTGCCCTGTTTTTATGGTTAATGGGATTTTCCAAATAATGTGAGGAATCAGCAGAGGTCCTTGGCTTTGGCTGACCACGAACCCACGCTGTGGCCAGGGCTACAAGGAGTCACTCACCCACCCCATGCACCCCAACGCAGCCCTTCCCCTGCAGCAGGGGATTTCACACCCTCCAACGTCAGTGCTCACGCATATTTGTGGTTTTGACTCGTTTTTATGAAAGCTTCCCCGTACGGCTTCGTTAGCAGTTCTCTCCCCAGGAAGAAGGGCCAGACGACCCCCCCTGCTCCCTCTCACTTCTGCTCTCCGGCTTCTCACTTTCAGCTAATTTAAAAAGGTTCAGCCGAGGGAGAGCCAGGCAGAACCGAGAAATCGCTCATTACAGCCACGCAGTAAGACTTCGCCAACACACCAAAGCCCTTTTAATTTGCTCAAAAAGGTGCAGCAAGGAGATAAAGAAAAAATCTCCTCTCCTCTTCCTCGCTGCAGCTGGCTGAGCACGGCAGCGGCGCGGTGCCAGACCCGCAGCCTCGGCGCCACGGGCACCCGCCGCGTCCCGGCCAGTCACCCCGAGGAACCCTGGCCGTCCCGGCAGCCCGTGGGGGT